ACTGTGTGTATCCACTCCTCTGTGCCATAGAGCTCCATTGTTGTACCAAAAACAAGTAAAAACACATCAATGAGCCACACTGTTGCACTGGGTGGCATGTTCCTTCATCACAGAGAACACACACACATATACACCTTCCTTCTGCTGCAAATACTCATCAGAGCCCTGAATGTGGATTAATCCGCAGCTGGAAATAGTCCCCAAGAACTACTGGAAATCCCTCCTGTATTAATAGCTAACTACAGTTGTTTGAGCATATTAGTTAAAAAAAAATGAAACTATATATTTGTGTTTTTATCTTTTTTTTCAGTAACAAGTGGGCTGAGAGCCACAGACAGGGCAGTGAAGTCAAACACTATTGAGAGACTGAGAGGATTGGTCTTTTTGCTGACAATAATAAAACCTCATTCTTTAAGGCAGTGCCGACTTCAGTTGTTGAAGGTCGTGCGGTGGATTCATGTGTTCAATGTCCCTCTTTTCCTCAACAGTCATCTACAGCACCAAACTGTACCGCTTCTTCAAGTACATAGAGAACAGAGACGTGGCAAAGTCAGTGCTGAAGGACAGGGGACTGAAAAAGATCCGACTTGGAATAGAAGGTACTTAGCCAAAGTGTTTTCTCCTTTTATGCGGCCTCCAAATCTGAAGGAAAAAGTATTAACAATCAGAATAATGTATGTATTTGTGGTTAGAGTTGCATGTATTTTTCAGCTTGGTCCTGGAAGATTGGAGTTCTCTGTGGCAACTATCATTGCACAGCTTGACTTCTGTGAGGGTTGTCTTTTTCTCCACAGCAGCCCTACTCCACTGAACACAGCACTGTTAAACCCTGAGAACATTTCTGAGCTGAAAAAACAAAAACAAGCCTACAAGGAAGAACGTTTTTGGGTCGCGGAAGAAGTTTTGCTTGTTAAAGAAAAATACTGGAACTTTCCCTCAGGGTCACAGCGGGGAACCTTTACCTTTTTAAATATGAATTCATTGTGTGTAAACACCCTGTAAAAGTCCTAATGGCTGAACCCAAGGCGAGAGTTTTCACAACACCACCAATAAAATGCGCTCTAAAAGCTTGTTCTTCACAACATGCTTTTCAGGAAATGTCCAATCCAAGCAGTGCCTCACTGTTAAAATACTTGAAGGAATAGTTTGCTGTTCTACAGGTGGATTATGTGCCAGGACCAGTCTCTTTCCAGGAGTCTCCGGCAGTTGTCTGGCAACCTGGCCAAGAAATCTTCCAACGCACAAAGCCCCATTGTTGTTTTTACACTGGGGTTTTTGTATGCATTAAACAAATGAGATATTTCATAGGGTTTGTAGGCTTCAGGTCCCGATAGCTGGATTTTGTTACCTTTGGGCTAGGCCTGGATAATAAAACTGCAGCACTATGTTTCAACAATACACACTTCATCAGTAGCAATAAGAAAGTTGTTCAATAATGTATTGATAGTCTCGCTTTGATGCATTACATGCAAACCAAAGGCACATAATGAATATGCCCTGACTCATAAATAGCCTTTGATCCTTTGATATAATGGAGTGCGTGCTATGAGTGAATCACCCTTTGGAGTAGGTAGTAGTCAGTCACGACCCACATCTGTTACATCCCAAGAAAAGTGCTGCATATTTCCTGTACAGACAGAGTCAGCAAGAGAGCAAATAAGTGTATTTCCCAAAATGTCAGTCCTTTAACTCCAACAGTAAAGCTGTAGCTGTGTCCTTAAATGTTGTTCTGATCACTTTTGGTTCCTTTGTTTTCTCCAGGCTACCCAACCTATAAAGAGAAGGTGAAGCGGCGTCCTGGAGGTCGTCCGGAGGTCATCTACAACTATGTCCAGCGTCCCTTCATCCGCATGTCCTGGGAAAAGGAGGAAGGGAAGAGCCGCCACGTGGACTTCCAGTGCGTCAAGTCCAAGTCCATAACCAACCTAGCTGCGGCCGCCGCAGACATTCCCCAGGACCAGCTGGTGGTCATGCAGCCTACGGGGCCGCAGGTGGACGAGCTGGACACTCTGCCGCAGCCGCCGGGCGTCAACGACCCCTACCAGGCACCGCTCGGGCCGGAGAACAACGCTGGCCCTCAGCTAGCGCAGGGCTACGAGGGCCCGAACCAGCAGGCTCAGGACTGTCCGGGCCAGGCCCCGCACAGCCTGGCCCACAGCAACCACCAGCAGCAGCAGCAGCACGGCAGTAGCCACACTCAGGCCACTTACCACTACGAGCCGGACCCAGACACACCGTCACCCTCTGCGTGAGACTGGCTGCACCCTGAATCCCTCCCCCCACTGCTGCGTTCACACTAACAGCAGCAAGTGCTTTATTCCGAGATTAAGTTCAGAGCCCGGAAACTAAAAGACAAACAGCTTTCACATAATGGTTCTCCGAGCATTGATTGTAAAACCAACACACTGACACTGGGAGGGACGCAAAGAAAGCACAGAAACCTCATTGGCCTTCAACAGCCAGTAAGCACACACAGTTTAACCTCCCTGCAACAATTAAAGCACTTCTGGCCACTTGTTGCTTTCAGTGTGAACGCAGACTTTGCTCCCCCCCCCATCACTGCCCCACAGTCCCCCTCACCTCCTCCTCCTGAGTGGCAAAACACCACTTTGCCTTCTGTTGCACCTCTGCTGCAGCCTCTCTCAGTCGACGCGGCGTCTGAATGAACGAGAACTGTTCAGCAGCCAAGGAAGGATGACGCACATCAGCAGGCCTCCTCACACACTCTCGTTTGTTTGTTTGTTTACCTGACCAAAGGAGAGTTTTAGTTGCATTCTGTGTGCATGTGAAAAGACAGAGTGCTGTATTACATTATAATGAAGTGTGTGTGTGTGTTGCTGCTGGGATACTGTACCTCACTGGGAAAGTGGATTTCAGTGCCTCTTCATAGTTTATCCTTTATTTGGATGCTAGTCAGCAGTGAAGATTCACTTTTTCCAGCGCATGTGAAGGCCTTTGATTGAAAGGGTTTTTGTTTTACACAACATATATACGTTTTTTTGTTTTTTTTAAGAAAACGTTCCACCCCCTTTGCTCTTTAAACCAGCTGATTTGGTTCCTAGTTTACATTAAGTCCTTGTTTTCACTTGTTTGCATCCTGGCTGAGCTGCTCTGCACAGGTTCATCATCACTGCTGTGAGCACACAGGATGTGAGAAGAGATGCTGAACACAATGTTTTTCTAATAAATGGTATTCACAACACTCTGGTCTGAGATGACGTTGCTTCCTTATTTAAATCTAGTTTAAAAGGTAACAAAAGCTGCGGTGTCTCGTCTGGTGTCAATTTAAGTGGTCTGCCCTCAGATATGGATTGAACACTATAAACCTTTGTATTTGATAGAATGATTACTTCCACTAAAAACAGAACTGCTGGAGGAGAGGAAAATGCTCATTCATTTGCCTTAAAAACATATGACTATACAATATGAATTAGTTCTAAATGAACAATATGGTCAATACTGATATTTTATTGCTAACATGTAACCACGCTTAGCATCTATTATCTCCATTTCTTACCACCACGTATCAGGCACCATTTTGAGACTGCTCTTTGAAGCAGTTACTGGTGATAAGATGTCTGATCGGTTTCCAACCTTTTTCTTTAAGGGAACTGACAACCCCTGACTAAGTGACACATTTTATGGATATTACATATGATAGTCAGAACTGCACAATGAACCCAAATAGTGAACACAGTAACCGTAAGAAGTTTGTGTCAACGAGTGATTTGGATGAATTTTGAGCAATTATTTCTTGTTTAGGGGACCCTTTATTCAACTCTCTCACTGTATTATAAAAATCACTTTCAACCATACATTTAATCTTACAGACGTCTCTTTTGACAAATTCAGTGTGTTCTTGTCCCCGACGCTTGGCCGTTGTTCTACAATTTCCATTTACTGTTCCTCACAGAAGTGAACCAGATGCTGAGATATAGCCCTACTGTGTATATTTTTTAAAGCTTTCTCGGGAACCACTGGTGTAAAGTCTGATCTGATCACTGTGTAATGACTCAGCATCTCTACAGAAATATTCAGGCTGGTGCAGCGTTATTGCTTCATCATCACACCGCGATAGAGGACGTTCCTTTGAAGAACAGTACTGTAAACTGATGTAGGAATACACACACAAGCCGCAGGGAGCAGTGATGTAACTAGAATATATCTGAGCAGTTAAAGATGATAGACCTTTTTCACAGCAGCATGAAATAGTAGGGTAAACTCAGGTGTTACCAATGACCCTAATTAAGGTTCTGTTCCATTCAGGTCAAACAGGGTCAAGTGCAGCTGTTGGCTCTGCTACACTAAATGAAACTGAGCCTTAATTAGCATCACTGGGAACACCTGTGTTTACCCTATTTCATGTCAAAATGGCTGCTGTGAAAAAGACAAACTAGTTGCACTCCGAGGCACAGAACCAAAACCAGGAACCTTTTGAGCTTTAACTTTTAAACCAGTGTGGGAGGTTTTGTGAAGGTTTGGCAGGGGATGAAAGCAGCGTTCAATAGCTGGAGATGACCTGACTCTGGAATGAGGATCGGAGATTAAATATGGATGAGCTGCTTCCCCGGTAACTATGATTATTTAATGCACGAGTTCAAAGTGTATGCTCATGCTTTAAATAACTTTTTGGCCCGCAAATATCAAACCACGATTAAGCTTACAGGGTTTCCCGAGACTGAATACTAACTCTGTAACAAATAATGGAAATAAAAATCACCTTCTGAGCATCAGGGGTGTATACACGAGTGTTCTATTCACAGACCTCCATTCCTGGTTAATAAAGACGCTTGTGAAAGCAGTGGCAACATTCAGCATCTCGCTCTCTGTGTACAGAGCTTCCAGCAGCTGGATGGCAACATTATATAAAAATACCACCGGGCTGCACTGATTGGCTGAGAGAGGAGAGCCGGAGTCATGAATGAACACGCAGAGAAGACCTCCACCCGCTCAAGACAATGTTCTATGGATCAGCAATAAAGCTAGTAACAGACACAGAATGACAGAAACAAATAATTTTATTTTAAAAATATTTCACTGCTGATACATACAATACACTCATCATACTCATATATATTTGCATAAAGTATACTCTTAACATGATAATATTTAAAGATTTGATACATTATTGTCAGGTGGGGAGGGGCATATCAACAAGGGGGACACTTTATTGTAGTGTGTAGCGTAAAAACATTGAAACAGAAAACCACTAGAACAGATACAGAGGGGACCTCGCCAGCTGCTGAGTGATTGGAGGAGGACAGGAGGAAGGGGGGGGGCCTGAGCCTGGCAGGTAACAGTCCTGTTTGAACCCAACTGTACACTGACCGAGGGGTTTACAGATGAGTAGCAGAGGAACTGCTGCGTCTTGGACTTTTGCATCCTGGATTGGATGTTCAGCCACAACTGGTTGACGTCAAAGTCAGAGATTAAAAACTTTCTACCCACATGGAAAGAAAATCTGTTTGCCCAGTTTGTGCCCTCTCATGAATTAACATTGTACTGAAGTCATACAGCCAAGCATCTGTTTGTTGTTGTTGGGTTTTTTTTTTACACAAATATCCCTGGAGGTGAGAAAAGTCACTGAACAACACTTGCTGCTGTTCTGGAAACTTGATTACTTTATGATATTAAATAGTCCAAACAACGATGAGGAGTTAGGGGGGAAAAGAGGTCAACGCTAAAGAACTCAATGAATCTGCTCACTCAGGACCATGTGGGTGTGGTTTGATCAGATCTGACTGACAGCGACCAAACGACCCACCAACCGTCACCAGATTCTGGATCAAATGAGACAATATGTGACATCACCTTTTTCCAACTGAGCCCCGCCCACTTCAAACCAGAGAGAAAAGCAGGAAGAAAAACCTCCAGGAGCTCCTCGCTCACTGTGAGAAGCGGATTAAGGAAACTTTCATTTTCAGGGGCATTTAGTGCTATTTTCTTTTTCATACAGAATTAATTATTCTTCTTTTGCGGTAGAGAGCAAACTAGAAGTTATGTCATTTCCAGCTACCTGGATTAGGAACTAAAGTTGCAATTTGCAAACTATAAATCTTCTTTTTTTAATCATTTATTCACCCAGGTGACTGGACGAGCCTTTTGAAGACTGGATACCTTCAGAACAGCAGTGAGTGTTGTTACACAGCTCTGTGCGTTGGGGATTCTGCTTAGCTGCTGAGACTAGAATGTAAATGATGAGAGGCACAAACAAGAAGCAGGCTTACACACACGATGCATATTTGCAAAATGCATTCGAATATGTAAAAAGGTGGCCACTTCGTTTTACTTTACTGTTAAATGGATTAACAATGCACCTAAAATGCACTTTCAGTGTATTACAGCACATTTTTCCTTTCTATTCTATATATTGGAGACAATATATATATATATATATATATATATATATATATATATATATATATATATATATAAACATTTCACATCTATCCTGTAAAATATCTCTCAGTTGGGATCTTTCCTGGATTACTTTTTCTTGAGACATTTTGGCGTTAATTGAAATCATTTTTTACAAATGCATTCAGAACATCAAATGCATTTAAAATGTATATTCCACACAGGCAGGCAGGCAAGCAGGACAGCTGAGACTCCTGTCAACGTGTCCACCTCTAACCACACTCTGACAAAAGGTCAGCAGGCGGCAGAGAGCTGGCGAGGTGAAGAGGTCTTGTTGAGGATATTCATTATGATGGAGGAAAAAACGGGACACTGAAATGAAGAATTCCATTCAGACGTTCCTGGCCGTCCCTCCCGACCCTGTTTGTTGTCACAGGACATGATCGGAGAATGTCCTGTTGTCCCCGTTACAAAGTCCCACTCTGCTGGATCTCTACGACATTTACCTGTTTCTATACTCGCCCCCTGTCTACGTTATAGCCCTCTCTGCTAACAAGGTAGTTTGCATTGACAGTTATGTGTAGCCACAGAGTACATCTGTGTATTATCAAGTGCTAAAAACAGACCAAATTCATGAGTAACTGCAGGATTAAAAAAAAAGAAAAGAAATCCACATACTGTAAATCTGTCATTTTTGCAGCAGAATTGAACTCAGAGGTATTTTTTCTTTAACTTCTCCCAACTCCAGCAAAACAAGTTAGACGGGGGCTGCTCCTAAATTCAAGCCCAGGTACTGATGACGGACACGTTGGGTCCGTTTTTTAAATATTCAGGTCACAAAAGGCAAAGAAATCTGTTCTCAGGGCCTGTTCTGAATCAGAGTACTGATCCAGAGTCAGCCCTCCTGTTGAGGGAATAGAGCTTAGTGACTGACAGTCTTAACCGCATCTTAAGTGCTTCATATGGGTGTCGAGGTGAAGATGAGGAGACCCTGTGACCCAGACCACCAGGTTTTTTACGTTAGCGGGCTAATGCTAATTAGCCTGCCAGCATGTGTTTACCTGTAAAGAGCCGTGTGTGAGGAGCAGACCTCGGTAAAATGGCAGTGGAGAACATTTCCTCGTGGAGGAGCGCTTGAATTGTCTTGGGTTGCAGTTGAATTGCTCTCTTTTGAGACTGGAAAACGTCCGCAGAGACGCCAAGCGCGCCGTTACAGTCCCCAACACACACACCTGCTGCTCGCACCAGACTCAGCTAACCTCCTTCAATCCGTTAAAGTCGGATTCTTTGTTGTAACAGTCGTCAGAGCTTCACTCCAGCCGTTTGCTGTCAACACTGAGAGGCTAAAATGTGCAGGAGAACAAAGCAGTAGAGGTCTTCACAAGTCCTGATGGTTTCTAATCACAGAACTGGGTCCAAATGATGTGCGGTGTGGGGGCCTGTTGCATCGCCTAAGTGGATCTGATCAGCACTGATCACATGATGCGTCATAATCATCGTTTTCTTTTGAGGCAACCAGAGTGTGAACAGTCCATCCCTCTGCTGGGAGGTGCACCTTCTCCCAGCATGCACAGGGTGAGAGACACCCTGGACAGGTCGTGGGTCTGTCACAGGGCTGATGCCAAAGCTGTGTCCCGATTCCATACTACAGACTGACTGTGTACAGTATACACTATGTACTTATTAATGTTTTTGTTTGTTAGCACACAAGAAATCAACATATGCAACTGTTTCATACTAACAGGAGATTATACAGCAATCAAGATGTTGCAACTTTTAACTCTTCCTGGTGCTCACTCAGCTATTCTGGATACCGTCTAGTTGTGAACCTCCAACTTCTTAGAGTTAGCATGAAGTATGGGACTGGGACACAGCTCACCCCCCCCTGCAGGAACAGCGTCGGGCTGTGAGGTGGATTCAGGGATCGACTCAAACTGGCCCAAAAAGGCAGCAAGGTTAAACAAAGATCATATTTGTCTGCGGGTGAGAAACACTCCAACATGATGCTTTGTATTATTAGAATTTGAGCCACCAGACTACAAGAGCCGAATCAGTCGATCATTCTCGCGTGTGGCAGGAAGTCGGTTGTCTCAGCGAGATAAGGACTCGCGGTTTACGGGCCCAACGTGGAAGTTGAAGCTCATACAACACTTCTTTCTCCTTTTGTTGATTGGTGACGCATCACGCTGCTGCCAGTGTCGATGCTCTCGCTCTATTTGGGCGTGCTTGGGTCGAATCACACTTACTGAACTTACTGAGGTACTGTAGGTAGTTTTAGGCAGAAATGAATCTGTTTTAAACTCAGGAAAAATACAGAATCTATTCTTCTGGGAAAATATAATCTAGCGAGGATGAGCTTTAGAGTAGCTTGGAGCTAAATGTGTCAGCGTTCATGTTAGTTTAGAAAACAGCAGCTAGGTGGCTTTCTCAGAAAGGAGTTTGTCATCGTTTGAATGAACTGAAGTTCACCTGCTTGTGGAATCTTGTGGCTTCGGAATAAAGAACCTCTAAGAATCTTCCAAACAAATCTCCAGAGGGTAACTGCTGTGTGTTCATTTCCCATGCTGGAGATCAGCTGGCGAAAAACAGCCAATCGACATCCTGCGAGGAGACTTGGAACGTACGGTCAGAGATGAAGAGAGGGCTTCGACAGGAGGCGGAAATCGAGCGCTCCCCACCCGACACCACTCCAACCTCCGTGTCAAAACTTCAACCGCTGTCTGTGAACGGAGTCCTGTGTTGGTTTGGGTGGTTGGCTGTAGACCTGGCGATGACAGGGCCCAGAGCCACGGTTAGACAGAGTTCAGTCCATCAGCAGACACGTTAGCACCGCAGTCCTGTAACTTGAGATTCCATTTGCTGCACTATTGTTAGAGTAATGGTCTCTCGCCGTGGCAATGTTAGGGAACGCCTCGTCTGCAGGCAACTGACACTGCAAAAAGGATCATCTTAACACGCCATCTGGAGCCAGATTTTTATATAAAAATCCTTCTGTGTGCCCCCCAAAAATTCAGGGTCACTTGTCCGCCTACAGGGAATGATGAATCAAAAAGTAGGAGTGTAATCCAAACAACAGCGAGAGCCTCGTCTCCTCAAGTGTGTGTAAAATGTTCAGTATCTACAGCCTTTTCCGATTTAAAATATCATTTGTTTGAGATGGACACTGTTTGCAGTGTAGTTGTGTAGGGAGGGCAGGAAACATGGCGGCCAGAATTCCAGCTGACTGAACTCTCTCCATCGGTGGCTCTGGTGCTAAGAGGGAGTTCTCCCTCTCTCCCTCCGCCTCTTCCCTTCCAGCTTCCTCACAAAGGCCAGGGCAGGTCACTGAAGTCGACGGGGCCGCCCAGGCCGGCGTCCGCCTCCAGCAGGGACATGATGACCGCCATGGCCGCCTCGTCGTTGCTGGGGCTGCTGGAGCCGGGGTCGTCCATGATGTCTATGCTCAGGTGGGAGTTGTCACCTGGACGGAGGACGGAGTCATTGAGAAAACACTCAAATAAACGACAAGAAAGTGTGTTTAGTGTGTATGTTTGTGTGCGACTTACTCATGATGGACTGGTTGGAGTAGGGGTAGCCTACAGAATCAGGTCCAGGAATGATCCCTGTGCTTGGCAGCTCGGGTGTCCCTCCATTCTGAATCTATAGACGTGACACACACACACACACACACACACACACACACACACACACACACACACACACACACACACACACACACACACACACACACACACACACACACACACACACACACACACACACACACACACACACACACACACACACACACACACACACACACACACACACACACACACACACACGTATCAGTTAACTGTGAACGCAGATCAGTTTCAAGTTTTCAGTTTTTGGAAATACGCTTGTTGGCTTTCACAGTGACTTCCCGGAGTCTCTGCTTATTGCCTGACAACCTCACAGTGATAACAAGACTCCAGGCAGTCACTGTTCAAAGCCAAGAAATAGTCCGGCACATGACCCCCAGTAGAAACACAACCTGTCGTCTTAACACTGCAGCTTTCAGACGAACAAACAAGATACAAAGTTTTAGCCAAAGATCTGATATTCTGAAACATTTGGGCAATTTGATCAAATAAAAACTACTTCAAGGACTAAGGCTGGGTTCTGATAACCGGTTCCATTTTGGCAAAACACCTGGGTTCACTAAGCTCTGAGGCCACCAGATCTCTAAACCTCACAGTTTTTCATAAGCAAAGAGCAATGTACAAAACATTCAGTGTTATAGGCCTAGCATTTTTAGCTCCTGCTGACTGTCACGTTCACCGCCGAGGTTTACTTCGTTAACTTACTCAAGGGCAAAATAAAACCTGACTGTGGATATTATGCTAACTAAAGGCTACTGTATGTACTCGTGTACTAAAGATCGTTTGTTATACAAAGAAACGCCACTCTGTAAAGTCACTCTTCATCTGTGAGTGGACCGTGTGTTTTGTAGTTCCACAAGGACTACAGAGTGGTGAGTCTCATAGCAAAACGATCCAGCTGATTGGGTCACGTCAGTTTTATAGGAATCACTCAACTGCTGTGTGTCTGCCTTCTATATTCTGCTGCTATTCAATAAGTGGATCTGATTGGTAAAATGCTATCAACCAACTTTATAAAGGACCATATAAACAGAGTGTGTGTGTGTGTGTGTTACCTTCTTGCCCCCTGGAGAACAGGTGTCGGGTGGAGGGGTGCTGGTGATGTTCAAGGGGCTGGAGCCACAGCTGGAGGGGGAGGAACCTCGAATCCTGATAGAGACACACACAGATGGTTGCAATGACTCTGAAACACACTTCGCCTCAATCTCAGCCGCAAAAACCTGCCCTGAGTCACGGTTGTTCATTCCAACCTCGATAAAAGGTACAATTACATCCAGATCCTGATACATGGGACCTACATGCAGCATATTTTAAACACTTGTACCGGAATTTGTCAGCGTTGCCATGACAATAAGTAGATATTATATCTATCAGTGGAAATAACTGGTGTAATTTTAGCACCACAGCAGCTATCTGAGTCAGCGTTAGCCTGGAGGATTCAGAACTGAGCGGGAGAGCCTGCAGTATGAACACAATGTCCTGTTTTACACTGCAAACGACTTGTGGCGCTTCTTTCATTGTGTCGCCTTTTCACAGAAACGATTCAATACATACAAAGTGAAATGTTCTGTAAAAAGGTCAAGTCCTGCGTATTTTATGTCATGTGAGTTTCCCCATTTGCCAAGCACGTAGAGCTGGCTTCTGATATCTGATCACGCCATAACATCTCTCTGCGTGTCGCCTCCATCGCCATCATCATGAAAAACTAGGCCACAGAGATTTTCCAGGCAAGGACAAACAGACTGAAAAATACACCAATTCCATGTGCTCTCACCTCTGGATCTCCATCACTTCCTCTGCTATCATGCGTCCGATCTTGCCGGCTCCCGCTCTCGTGCCGCCGGGGATGCCGGGCACCGTCTGTAGCGCCCGCCTTCCTCCACCTGCCAATCAACAGCAATCAGAACAGGAGATTTTATTTATTGTGACCCACTGCAGGGCATTAGTGACAACGTCAGTGTCTTTTTTAAAATAAATTAGCTGAACATGAAGGAATGGTGTAAAGTGGTATTTTACCCTCTGAGGTGAGAACACTATCCATGCTCTGTGGCGAGGCCGCAGATTGAGGGTAATCTGATCCTTCCATCATAGGACACCTGGAGAGATTAACACACACATGTGGACATGTTCTGGTATGTTCTGGTATGTTCTGGTATGGAGGTGTGAGTGTCCTCGGCTACTTACGAGACGACAGTGTTGGTGGAGACGATGTACTCCACCTCCTTGGTCCAGGGGTTCATGAAGCTGAACCATCGGCTCCTCAGCGTGATGAAGGAGCCGTCTTTGATCTTGAATTTGTAACAGTTGGTGTTGATCTTCTCTCTCATCTGCAGCACTGTGGACAGAAAAAAACACAGACGTATTGAAGACTGGACTCATTCACTCGGCTTAGTGGCTGCACCATTAACAGCCGTTAAGTTACTTTGTCGATCCCTCGGCAGGTACCTTGTCTGTGGCACTCTGCCAGGTGGCCGATGTCATCCTGGTGGAAATACTCGTAGAAGGAGGTTCCCAGCAGCTCCTGGGGCAGGTAGGCTAGGATGGCTGTGGCTCTGGAGGGACAGATAAAATGGAGAAAGGTTGTGGTTATTCAAACCTGTGCCTCCCCTGCCTTTTGTCCTTTGTAATTGATTTTTTTTTAAATAGACTCTGAATGTTCTGGAGTCTTAGATGGGAGTCAAACTTGTGTCACCAACAAGGGCCAGTTAACCACCAAACAGCTTCTACAATACAGTATATACAGCCAGTTCCACTTGTGGCCACTATCTCTATCACTCTCTATCTATGCACAGTCACTGTGGACCTCTTTCCTGCTTTCTTATATTTTCCCAAGTGAGAACAAAATGTTCTAAACATGTTTACAACAACCCTACACTACAGACTCCAGAAATAAACACAGAGATAAGCCAAGGAAGCTTAACTGCTTAGGACTTGGCACATGCTGAACTTTATATTCCCATCATCAACCCCAAATCAAAGCTAAGTAGGTCACAGTTGAAGCGCAACCTTAGTCTCAGTTTGATCCAAGAGAGTTCTCACGCGTCTCACCTCTGGTCAACGAAGACGAATTTGCCGTCGATAGCGTGCCGGGAGACATACTCGGTGGGCTTCACCCTGATGTCTGCCAGGCTGGGTTGGGGGACGATGTGGGGGTGCAGGCGGCCGATGGCCACCAGGCAGCTCAGGTTGCAGCCCTCGTTGTCGGGCTCGTTGTCCTCGTCGAGACCCATCTTGGTGGGCGGCCAGCTCTTCAGGTAGCCCGTGCTGTGGATGGTGCAGAAGCTCTTACGGTCCGCTGTAACGAGGTGGGGTGGGGTGGGGGGGAGACGCAGCGTTAGAGGTTATAACTGGAAATGGACTTGGACCATCTTAGTGGGATGCCATCCCCATGCTGCGAGGATGATGGGAGAGTCTTACAGTTCAGTGAGCTGAATTACATTTACGATTATAAATCAGCTCTGATTGGCTGATCACATTTGAAACTGTTATAAAACAGGATTTTGCACACAGTACAGTGTTATGCTTCCTGTCAATGATTCGGACTGTTTTTTTGCACCTGCCTGTCACATTGCTGTATTTTGTATCCTCTGATGAAAGTCAGACAGACCGAAAACTTGCAAGATAAAATGATATACTGCACTGATCTACAGCGAGTGTGGAAATCTTTACAAAACAGGATTCAGAAAGCCACATTTAAGATCTTTCATGCTGTCTTTAAGAGTTTGAATATGACGGTTCCACAGAATGATTAAAAACAGATGAGATAAAATCATTCTTTGTAAACTGAACATGTAAAAAAAACGAAATACTGTCTGAAGCTACAAAATAGTGTGCTTTATTGTTTGCTTGCTTTATTTTTCTGTTTTGACATAATATTATTGTGTGTTAAGATTTACAACCAGCTACCAACATAATAAAGCTACATCTAGAAATATTATTTTAGACCAAAATGCTGCTCAGGACGTTGTTTAATGCATTTTGACATTGTTCTTTTAAAAAATGAATGAGCACAATCCATGTTTCACTTCACAACCACATTTAGTTTCTGCTTAAAAACCCTCCTGCTTCCCAGGGGAGTAACATTCGTCCCTAGAGGAGCAGTTTGCCTTCACACAGTAAATAACCACAGCTAGATATTCCCTTACATCATCCACAACAGGAAGTAAATTAGAAAATGCTCAGGCTAGGCTGAACTGCAATGTACCATTAAATGACTCTCATCTCAGTCCAAGGTTTAAGATTAGGACTCTAAATGATTTAGTTTAATATACGCAGCATAACATTCATCTCATTGCAACAACTACAGACAGAGTTTCATTCCTTGGGTGAGGGTGTGTGTGTGTGTGTGTGTGTGTGTGTGTGTGTGTGTATGTATGTGTGTGTATGTGTGTGTATGTGTGTGACCAGGCGAGCCGCCATTGTTTCCTGCTACGGATGAGTAGAAACCCAACTCGCAGTACGTCACTGCTGCTTGTGGCAAAAAATCACCATGGTAACAGACATAATGCCAAAGCGGTCTCCATAAACCAATGGGTGACGTCACAATAGGTTCACACTCGGCCTGCATCCTGTACAGACAGACTTGAACAGACTTGTTTAAGTACCAGCAGGTTCCAAGTTTAAAATAATAATCTCTCCATTTCCTGGGTCCCTGTAAAATAGTAATAAAGTATTTTAACACTGAACTATTGCAAAGGGGTGTGTTATCTAGTGTATACAAGACAATCCATGTAGCTGCACATCTACTTTAGATGGGAAAGAAGGAACTGCATCACACACATCAGGAATGTCTTGGCGGTTAGCAGTGAGTTGATATATTCTTGTTCAATATGTATTAGGCAGGGGCTGCTACAGTTCAAATGCTTCATGCTCTTCACTGAAGCAGTAGTAATCTTGCAAAACTTTCTTCCAGGAATAGATGAAAGCTTGTCTAAGATGTAGGCGTGAGTTCTGGACTGGAGTTAACACCTTCGTAAATGAACTATATGTGACGTGTTTACTGAACTTAACCCTCTAACAGACATATTCTGGGTGGTCCTGCAGGACTGAACTATCAACTATCTTACTTGCCTTTTTCTAAATTATGTGCTTGTTTTTTTTTTTTCTATTTAATTTTCAAAACTTAACTCTTTTTCCTCCCACAGTGAAACACAAAGCACGACATCAGAGGGAGAATAAAGTTTGCCTCTATGAAATATTCAGCTAAAATGGTGACGCAACCAATGCGTGACTGAGCTCGAATGGCCTGCAAATGTTCTTCTGACTATAAAAGACACTTAGTTTACACTCCAGTTCACCCCATCAGTAACTAAGCAGGGCGACAAGCCATATGTTTCATCTGCTCTCAGGCCACTGCAGCACAGATGACGCAATGAGCTGGACAGAAAGAGGAAGCTCTCCAGAAAACAAACCCTCCTAAAGTTTGACGAGATAAAGACTTATATCTTGCTAAAAGCTTGAGTCTCATTAGCAGACAATGAATTCATGGTGATGCTGAATAATTCAGGCTGTCGTTTCGTGCATTATGGCTCAACTGACATTTCTGTGGTATATAAAGGAACTACAAAAGTTGTGTGTCCCCTGTGTGTTACCATTTGCCAGGACAGTACCCTGCTTCCGATGCCATCTAGAACTTCAATTTTTTATTTTCCTACCTAGTGTGTCCCAACCTCCAAGTGATGTAACACTGCACCATTAGTGTTCTGCTAAAAAATCATCGTGTGCAAAGTTGACTCGGGGTGCTTTCATACATAACTTGAACCCTGGTGCGTTCACTTAGCACGGTTTGAAAGCCGCGACTTGAACTCTGATACGAGCTACAGAACCGGACCGAGAGTGCCTGAAAAGGTGAGCCTCGGTTTGACTTCAAAGCTCTTCCACTCTAGTGTGTTTGTGGTCTGAAGGCAAAGCAGACCGAGCACAGTATTCTGTTATAATAGATGATGATGATGATATATGATTTAAGCATCAATTCAAAAGCAAAAGTCCTCTGATAGTAAACTGCAGACAGCAGATCATTCAAAATAAGAGAAGACTGGTGGATGCCGCTAGTTCTCCTTAATCAGTCGTACAAGCCACTAAAGAACAAATATGTTCGTACATGTGAGGTATATAGAGTATCATTTTTATTTTTTTTGGTCCAAATGAAAACAACTACAAGAGTGAAAACTGCATTCATTCATTCCAGCAATTATCAGTCCCATGACTATCTACTCACATTTGACCAGAAACACTGATCATTTAGTGCTATTTTAAATCACTCTGGGCTATAATTACCTTTTGAAATCCCTGCTTTGACATCACAGTTCAACTGTGGCTAGAAGGGCAACACCTTATCCAACAGCTTAGCAGCCATAAGAAGTGTTGCTATAGAGTTGTATGCAAGATTCTGTCTTTGACAGGCCAGTTTGGTTAAATAAGGGTTTAGTAAAGACATTACTAAATACATGCGCTTAAAGAGGCCAACTTCCTTGGTTGTGTAATGCAGACACTCTCATGCTAACTGAGGTGTGATGCCTGGTTCTAATAAGGATGTGCCTCTAAAAATAGAATAAGAGGCACACCAGGAAATCAGGCTTTTGCTTTTATAAGGAGGTAACTGAAAGGCTGAAAAAAAAAAAAACTGTCTTAAGTACGTGAGGCAAAGGCTGAAGGGAGATAAGTACCCTTGACTGGCACTCAAAGTTGAAAACTGATGGGGAGACGCTTTGAGCAGCACAGAGCTGCTCCTACAAGGCCTGCTGGGAGAGGCAGCATGTAATTCTAGGAGGAGGATTGTGGGTGACATTTATACAAAGACAACTCCACTTATATGTTTTAAGAGAACAGTGCTGTACCTTTTTTCTTAGAACAGGTGGAGGGAAAGTCTTTATCCTCTACTTTGACAGAGGGTCTGTTGCATTTCATCCTGCAGAAAAACGACCGTCTGGCCCCAGAACAGAGTCTAGATGGACCAGGGGTGATGTCTGTCTTCACTGGAAGGCCAGCTGCAAATACACACATAAAACAGTTAACATGGCAACAGCTTTCAATCTACATGTGTGTGTGTTTTTTTTATATATAAAATATAAATTTCACGTTCAGTCAGAAGCTTTCAAAACATTATTTTTATTGTCTACAATGTTCCAACCACAGAAAAATAACATGTAGCCAAATTAAATTGCTCTTTGTACTTTCGGTGCCTCTATTTTAAGTCTTAAATGACGCCCATTTCGCTTATTTTTCCTCCAGCTGTGTTTGCGGTCTTAAAAAACAAAGAAAATGTATTTTAACCATTTCTAGCCATTGTTCCTCTGTATGGGGGTTCAATTTTGCACCATTTTCTTGTCAGACTTCCTTTCTCTTTTTTTGTAAAATCCCTTTTGCCAAATTACAAAATTAAAGCTCAAATATCTCAGAGGAGCATCAAATCATGCTATTCTTGCATAATCTTTGGTACCCGAAGCTGAATCTTTAGCCACAATAACAGGAGGAGGTCTCTGTGATACAAATTGTAAGCGCTCCATCAATGGGGTACCACTGCTTTAAATTGCAGCACAAAGAAACCCTGTGCACAAAACAGAGATATACAGCTGCAGCAAAGTGGTTTTTTTGGTTAACAATAGACAATACAACTAGGTACTGAAATTGACTATAAATATTTGTATTACTGATGTCAGAAGGCAGCCTTGAGATTGCTGAAAGCTACAGTTTTCTCTGGTATCGTAAGGACAGCACAGATTAGGACGTAAACTCAGGGTGAAGGGAAGAAAACACAAGAGATTCTGGATTCTACACAAGAGATGATGCATATTTGGACTTGCTTACTTTTAGCGTCAATGAGCCTCTCTCGAGGGGCCGTATCGGAAGAGGACAGCTGCTCTTTGACCTTGGCTATGTCCTTGGGGTGAAGGTAGTCAAACAGGCTCTGACCTATCAGGTCATTCTGGAGACGGCGGGTGAGAGACAGAGAGAGAACAGAGGGAATGAAGTCAAACAGGAAACAATACCGACAAGTACACAACTACTAACACTAAACATCTACGTCTGCAAACAACTTCAAACACTTCTGACGTCACTGGTGCAATTCTACTTTAATTAATTGATGAGGTAGCTTTTCTGGGAAACTGCAAGGCAACTTAAACCTTTAATTCAAAACTGAACTGCTGAAGCAGAATCTGATCATTCAGGGTGATGAAATTCTGCTGATTGGTAAGAATCATTTTATCATCTTATCACCACCATCAGAATCAAAACAAAGTAAATGTGAAACATGTGCAAAGTCTTTCATGGTTGAGCAGCTTTAACAACAACTTCACACCAGCCTTCTGGGTATAAAGCAGTTAATGCACATTAACACTGTCGGCGTACCTGGCTGTAGTTGAGAATCTTGTAGACTGATTCAGAAACAAAGAGGATCTTTCCACGGTCACACCCCACCACAAACAGGAAACCATCAGCAGCCTGCATTAACACACACACACAGAGACACACAGAGACACACACAGGAATTAACATTGGGAAATTCAATATTTCAATTCTTCATTAAGAAAATGATATAAATTCTTTCAAAATTCCTATTTTGGTCCAGTATTAAGATACAGCATGATTTAGCTCTATAACATACAGCTGGGTGTTTTGATAAAAAATAAAGTGAGTATGTTGTAGACTGCATGGTGAATAAAGTATTGTGCTGTCTATCTAGATTACTTAAAAATGTACCCCTAAAACTGTATATCATTAAAGGACCAGTGTGTAAAAATGCTCATAACACCTTACATGGAGGCCGTTGTGTTGAACCACCATGTTTCTACAGTTGCCCAAAACGGACAAACCAAACACTGGCTCTAGATAGAGGCGTTCCCCCCTTTGTGCTTGGAAGGGGAGGGTGAAGCGAGAGAGTTGGGATCTGCAACTACACTGCTAGATGCCACTAAATGCTACACACTGGACCTTTAAGTGTTGCATACCTAATCTGTTGTACTGCACTCACCCTTAGTATCAAGTGCTTCAGTTCATCGTCTGAGAGGAAGGAGGGCTTGTAGTTGGCCTCTGTGTAGGGGTTGGCTGCACCTGCACGCAAAAGTAAACAACATTTTTGCTATTGTATATTTGTAGATGGACAACAGGATTGTTCAGTACCGAGGGAATCACTGATTATTTGCTCAACTAATACATTCCCTCTTAATTATCAGGGCGGCACAAATAATCAAAACTATTATTGAAATTGAAAGTCACATCATCATGATTTTAGTAGTTCTTTTCAGTAAAAATTAAAATTGTGATGCAAAAATGATCATTCCTACTAATTGTCAATCATACTGAAAAATAACTGCAATATATTTTTTTGAACCATATCCGGCAGCCATGGTATTGATTAATCTGCCCGTTATTTTCTTAGCTTTAATCATTTTGTCAGTTAAATCTCATTGCATTGTGAAAAATGACCATCCCAGAGCTGAAGATGACATTTAAATATGCTTGTTTTTGCCAAGTGACTTACTGACAAGATTCAGCTTTGCAGTTCTATCTCTGATGCAGTTTCTATTGTCCCATTCAGAAACAGTAAGCTCTGCCAAAGAGCTGTCAATATTGTTGCAAAAAAGAAACCTCACGCTCTTTTGACAGTTGTGCATACTATGTGAATATCATATGTTGGCAGTATTATTTTTAAGGCAGTTACTATCCATGTTACTATCCAGGCACAAAATACAGTGATTTTATTAGTTCATCCTAACCTCTGAGTGTCTTCATGTGCTGGACAGCCATGCGCAGGACAGTCAGCTTGTCTAGCTTGCGGGACATGGCGTTACAGGTGGGCACCAGTGACGCGAGCTCGTCGATGAAGCTGTTCATCTTATCCCTGCGACGCTTCTCGATCTGGCTGTGAGCCTCTCTGTGGAGGAAGAAGCACCAGACGTTAGCAGACGGAGATTTTACACAGATTATTCTCCTCTTGTCCCACCTTGCTGGCATTAGTCCAACAACAAAAACGTATGCAAAAATCTTTTTGGTTGGATTTCACCTGTTGTTTAAAAAACAGAATCCTAACCCTGCATGCTGCAAGAATGCAAATCGGGCAAGTTATCCTTCAATGGGCTGCGTTCTTGCACTGCGGATTATCCATCACCTCACAGTCTTATCTAACATGATATAAATCAGTTAGCTCAGTGCTAAGAAAACACTGCTCTCTGTAGATGAAAGATGAAATGCCATTTTTGGTGCTGAGTCTATCCTTCAGGACTGTAAGAACACACCCGAGAGTCTATCCAACTTGTCTGTTCTGCCTCCACTAGCTGCTACTGAAGGGAGAATTCTTTGCACGCAAGAGAAAGAGAGCTTGTCATTAGCCATTAGGTATGCTCTCACAGTCCCTTAGTCCCACATAATGCTCGGATCTATACACTTCAATGTATAAAGTTTCTTATTATCAACGTACACAAAGCTCTCTCTGTCCTCAATCAGACAGAGTGACATTTAATTCATGTAAGAGAGATTAGAAGGCAGGGTGAATGAGAGAGTAAGAGAGAGAACGGAAGGGAGTTTTTATACCTGGCATTCTTAATCCGGCCCTGTTGGTCACTGCAGAGACAAACAAGAAAACATTAAAGAGGTTTGAAAACGGCAAAAAGGAAAGAAAAAACTTTTGAGGTATAAATTTATGACACAGGGGGTATTTTAGAGAGCGAGGGAAGCAAAGGGAGGGAGGAAATGGGGCCACGGCTAAACTCACAGGTTCTGTAACCAACCTCATTTGCTGGTTTAAACAGAATCAAAGCTTATGCAACGAGCATAATACTCTGGTTATATCTGAGTGTACAATCTGATGACTGATGTAATACAAATATGACGTGGTTTTGATTAAACCTCTTCGCATTCTCTCTCACAAGCAGTTATATAAAGTGTAACAATGCTCATTACACTGCAAAATGCTCCCATCCCACACAGACTCAAAGTTCCTTGATTTTCCTAGACTTCTACAGTTGAAATTAAAGGTTTCAGTTATCCAGTTTTTCTTTTAGACCAGTTAAACTCCACTTAAGGAGAAGTTCACCCAAATTACAAAAGAAAAGAAAATCTAATTTACCTAGTAATAGTTTGTTTTATTTATCCAGGTTTTGAGATATCCATCAGTGTCACTTGGTGGAGCTAACAGCAATGTTTCCAACAGTGTTTCAGTTTCTTTTTCCCATAAGTTTTACTTGTACAATCCAGCAAACTCCTCTTAACGCATACATTTGTCTTAGAAATGGCTTCTGGTAACTTGATAGAAATGCCACCTGTTTGTAAGTGAGTCTGCGCTTCTCCTAAAAATTGATCTTCAGAATAACTGACAAGGCTACATGGTCCGCTCTTATTTGCAGGCAAGACTCATTCACAACAACTTCACAGTGCTACACAGCTTGAAGTCCTGCTGTTGGAAATCAACATCTTCAGCAGTGTCAGAAAATATTACTACAGCTGTCAACATTGTGTGTCATTGCGGAGCTGTACCGTGACAGAAATGATGAAGGAAAAGTCTGACGTGAAATTAGATGACAAACTATGTCTTGCTGAAGCAAAGTGATGCATATCTAAAATGGGTGGCAGTCAGGTCACTATGTCGCGGAAATGAATGAGGGATGTGTTCTATTAGAAGTGATGTTACACTGTTGGGTGCTACAGAAGATGTTCTCCTGGACAGCGAGCGGCATAAACACCCAGAGGCAGCTGTGGGAGCATTTGATTATTATATTGCCTAGCAGGCCTTTGTCCAACAGTAATGGTAATTAAACAGTTATATTATTCTTAACTATTTTCTATTATATCTTTATCTCTTAAATGACTCTGATGTTTGTGTGGGTGCTAACAAGTGCAAACAAAATTCCATCCACCTTCATTGTACTGGTGTGCTGTCACCCTCTCAAGAGATGAATGAAACCCAAACTATCTGCTTTAACAAATATATGATTCTTCTGATTTGGGTGAACCAACCCGTTTGTTGGGTTTAACCAATTTAAAATGGAAACTGGACCGTTTCAGCAGCAGGGAATGGGATAAAACTATAGTAAATACAGCAATACTGAAGATTAAAGGACCCGCTTTATCACCATGGTAATGATGGCGCCTTACCTTCCCAGTTTATCTTTGTCTGGGTCCATGTCACTGAGGAGGAAAAGACAGGAGGTGTTAGTTTCAGCAAACGACCACAGCCCTTCAGAAAAGTTCAAAGCATGAGGGTTCACTGGGTTCAGTATGTGTGTTTTCCAGTCTATTCTAACATCAATTCATTTCAGGTCATTGAGATTTCAGATTTTGATAAATTAAACTTTGTGCTGAACCTATTAACATGGAGTCATGGTTGAACTTACTCAAATGAGAAGCCATCAATTCTGCAAAAAAACACAAATTGAATGATTAGTTTCTGTCGTCGAGGTATTGGGAAATGTGATTATTTATAATGTGTAAGGTGTGAAAAGCAACACTGGCTGACAGTGTTTGATAGGACACATCATTTCATAGGGAATGTGACAGACACTGCACAGTCATAACAATTACACAAGTGATTCATTCAAAAGATTATAAACTGTGGCTCACTACAATCAGTCATGAGGTTAATGAGGCCAGAAATGCTGCTCTTTTTCTATCTTTCTTTCTGATCCCCTACCTTGCTCCTGTCTTTCTCTCCATGCCAACTTTTTTTTCTTTTAAGCTACTTGTTCGCTTTGTATCGTTTAGTTTCATCTGCATTTCTCATTATTTCTCACTCCTCCTCCCCCCCCCATTTTCTCCTTCTTTCCCTCCTTCCCGGTGTCCTTACTGGTAATCGGTAGTGCTACCCTTCCTCTTGCGGGTGTAGTCCATGCCAGGTGTGCTGATGGAGCTGGAGATGAGGTCGGTGGAGCCGGGGGACATGAAGTCAGTCATTGTAGACGAGATGTCCATCCTTTGGTCTGCCATCAGGTCATCTGCAGGGCAAAGAAAAAGACTTCTGTTATTCATTCTTACCAGTAATGGGTTTTCTGAATGGAGTAGGTAGGGAATGGGTGGGGTACAGGTGTTTTGTAATAACAGACAACTGTTCTCGTACTGTGGGCAGGTAAAACAATTAAGGAGTTGAAACAGGCCTGTGTGGAATTCTTTGAAAACACCCTTTCTTTACATGCTCACAAAACATGAGGTTTGCAGGCTCCTACGTCAACAGGTAAGAGAAACTCAGTGCAGTACAGACTGTTTCCATGGATATTAATTAAAATGCATGTCAAGTGGAGCAGCAAATTCCACTCCTTGCTCCTGCATGAAAAACAAAAAAAAGCTGTGTAGTGTAATTTTAGCTTAACCCTGTTCACACCGGAAACACACACACACACACACACACGCATGCACGCACGCAGCAGAAGACCCTTCCTGCAGATCATCACACAAGAGGGTTCTTTTAATTCCCCTCTTATCCATGATCAGATAATTCTTGAGGTTATTAAATAGACCAGCTGTATGCGTGATTAGAAAAGAGCAGAGGAGCGCGTTGATCAGGCGCAGAGAAATGCATTTCTGTAGAAAGAGCCAGGCTCACGCTTGCATGCGAATTGGCAAAGAATGGGAAGCGTTGAAATGGCTGATCCTGGGGACACGTACAGTGGTGCCAGTGATAGGCCAACGCATACCAGAGTGAAACTAGAGCAGGATGGAGCAGGGCATATGGCGATGCTCCAAGTTAACTTAAAAAAATTTGCTCTGCGCTCTATCCAAAATCCTTGCATTCCACTCCAATGCTCTGATCTCAGCAGAAGAAAAAACACATACAGCAAGCAAAGTAACGCATGCAAGTATTAGTCATGAGGGGCTGCTGGTTGTAATGGGTGTGTGTTCAAATATGTAAATAAACTGTCCACTAAGAACCCAGGCATGTTGAGATTAGTCATGTTATCTTTACTGAACGCAAAACTTGGTGACAAGAAACCCCTATACAATTTAAAAGGTCAAGATCACAGCGGCCTCGGTGGAAATATCTGCAGTTGGGTGAGCTTCAGGCAGGCAGACAGAGGTTTTAGGGGAAAAGTTAAAAACATTTGCAAACCACTATGAGTGCTGACACACAGAAGGAAACAGATAATAGATATCCCTTAAGATGAGTCAAAAACAAGTGCTGTTGTAACAGGGAGTGTCCCTGTTTAAAAAGCACATTATTATGATGTCACACTCACCACAGATGTTCATCACAGCCTCTGTGTTAAAATCATCTCCTTCCATCCACTCTTGAGCCCTCAACTGGGAACACACAAAAACATCACGGTTACAAATAACTGTCACTCTCAGCAGGAGAGGAGTCATGATGAAATTGTGCAGATGACAAAAAATAAAAAAAAAACTGAACACTGAAAGAAAACACATACACAGTTACAGTTGCCTGGACACGTGCGGCAAACATCATGCCATCTAGGTCAAATGTGGAGGCAGAATAAACAGGAAGCTACTGTCTCTGCAGATTTACAAATACTCTATCTCACACTTGATTTTTTTTTTTTGTCAAGGAGATTTAGGTCATACAATATCAGTTACATGAAAGAAAGAAATGTAAGTCATGGTGATGCGTTGCGTGTTCCAGTCAGGGACTGTTATTGGTTAACCACGAGCTGCCCCGACTGATATATCTGCCCATCGCAGACATATTGGTATTACACTGCAAGTTTATCACGCAGAACGCACTGCAAGCAGCACAGAGTAGGAAAGTAATGTCAACTAGAATTGGTTGACACTGAATATGTTAAATGATTTAAAATGTTAAAGAAACATTTACTTAAGTTATTTGTTTAAGAAAGCAGCCTCCCTTTGCCTTGCCTTTGCATAGTCCTATTTGTACACAATCCACATAGAAAAGGTCTATTTTAATTCCATTTTCCATCATATCGTTCACGATTTAATATTCTCGACCAGTTACAGATATCATACTTTAGGTCAATTTGCATACACACTCTGCTAATGGCACAACTAGCTAGCAGTCTGAAGTAAAACATGAAGCTAAATAAAGCTTGGTGCGGGACCATTTCCTCCAAAAAGAAAAACAACATCAAATGTAAATTGTGTGACGCTACTCTTTCAATTCACTCTTCAGTTAACTGCACTCACTGGTTCAAAGTTTCAAGCCTGTTTCATCTTTCATTACCACACCCAAAAGTGATGTCACAGTGTACTGACACACCCTGAAGTACAGTTCTACATCACTGGGCGAAGATGAGAAATGAAGCCACTGGATGTAAGAGAAAACATGTTTTTTTAGAAGTTGTTAAGTTACTCTTTAATAAGTTAATTAGACAGTTTAGTAAATTGGTGTGCTTGGTCTGTTGTTGAGTTAAATTAATCACAACACAGCACACATTTGCTTAGATTTTCCATACTTTCAACACTGGTGGAATAAAATCTCAGCACATTACTGATTTGACAAATAGTTGCCTTACTACAGCATCATGGATGAGTCAGCATAAAGCTCTCAACTTGCCAGTGTTGGTAAATACCAGCCAGCAGCAAGGATTAACAACAATGCACTTTCATGGCTTGTTAGACTCAGTTATATGGATGGATAATGGAGATGGAAATGTACTTACAAAGTCCCGAGTGGGCATTACTTTGCAAACTCTGCAATTCCACCTAGCTGTCACCATGCTATTTCCTTTTCCTTCAAATCTTCTGTGCACTTGCTGACACACTAAACTTGGATTTTTTTACACTGGGGAGGTAAACTTACAAAACACTTACACTTACAAAAGTTCACCTATTTAAAAACAACTACAATGACCATCAGGCTTTTGAGAGCTACCATTATATGACCCTGTAAACTTGACAGGATGAATAAGTACCAAACATTACACGTATTTTCTGTTAAGATATTCAACTCTCTGGCAGTTCTCCCATGAGTCAGGCGGATGCAGAAGATCAGTGGGCAGCCTTCCTTGGTTCAAATTCAGCTCACTGAAATATGAGTGGGAACAGCTTGCACATGGACAACAGAGCTGCATCAGTTACCTGGATAGGAAACTGGAACAGGTCTCCTGGACGGGCCTGGTATTGTCTGGTTCAATCTGGTCTGCTTTGTGCTGATTTGGTTTGAGTCTGGTTTGATTCAGCCTGACCTAGTTTCATCCAGTTCGGCGTGGTCACTCTTCCCCGATATGATCTGATCCTTAAGGAGCTGGTGCAACCCGTCTACACCTGGAGAGAGACGAAGCGTAAGGTCAGTCAGGTGGAAATCTAATCTTTCACAAATGTAACAATGTCAACAAAATACAGGAGAGTATATAAACAGGAACACATACAGTGTAGAGTACATTTACACGTAATATGACAAAACTTGATTAAAAGCAAAATATGGAACACAAAATGTTGGCCGCTCCTGCTGACCTGAAAAATGAATGAATCTGGGCTAATTGAATCATTTCCTGAAGCTCCATTATGTACAGATAAAAGCTCAAAGCAGATTTTCTATATTCTCTAAAATTTGTATGCAAACCTGACATGATTCACTCCAAAGCCTACTGACAATTTCCTTATTAGTAGTAACTCACTATCCCTGGCAGGGTTCTTAACCTGGAATTCTAGACTATCCCATAACAGGCTCCAACAGCCTCTCTGATACTGCTGCTGACGGCTTAGTCGGTTCTGACAACAGTGATGGCCATTCTCGCGCAGCACATACACAGTTTTCAAATATCTTTGTAATTTGATTCTCATTTATAGCCTGTGATTGTTGATTGTATCAGCTAAAATAGTAATTGGCAGATTTTATCATCAGGTGTAGCTAGCCAGTTCCACTGACGCTTAATTAAACGGACCAGTGTGTAGGGTTTAGTGCCATCTAGGGAATCCTTTTCAGTCATATTTTGTTGCACAGCTGTGATTGGACAATCACTGTTCAGGTAGGGGGTTGGCAAACAGTCAATTGCATGGATGGACAGTTCTGTAGAGGAATAACCTCCACTGGTGGGAAGTTCAGGTTACTCAAGTAGGAGTCATGCTTGCCTTAACCATTTGTTTATTTAATGTGCTGTTTTGGGACTTTTATTTACTGTTCACTGATGAAAATCTGCATCTTACTACTACTACTACTACTACTACTACTAGATTTTCATCAGTAGTAGTAGTAGAACACAGTGTGAAGCCATGGTGCATGCAGACAAACAAGAAGCTACAGTACCCCATCCAAAAAGAAAACACTTCTACACAATCTAGTATTCTTAATAATGTAAGACAGTACAATGTTTATTAAGGAAAAATGATGACACAATAAAAGCGAGTCAGTGAAACTGTGACTGTTTCCTGTGAGGGTTCTGAAAAAAGTCACTTTTGTGGGTCGCCTAAATGTTTAATGTGCAGTGACAACAAAATGCAAAGCTCAAGAAGCACTGTTGAAGTATCAGGCAGCAGAGTACTAGGTCAGGACAGGCCCGGTGAGCTCTTTTACTGGGACAAAGCCCTGGGCTAGAAGGGGAAAACCACTATGTCATGATTGAACACTGAAAGGAGCTGGTGCTGGAGTGGAAACTGGGTCAGCCAGTCTCTATGGTCTCAAAACCAGCCAGCCTCAATTTCCATCCACCACCTACTTCTACTTCATCAGTGAGTCAGCAAGCCATTCAGCTCTGTTTCCCTGTTCTACACACCCACTCACACAGTCAGGAAGCAGCCAGCAAGCAGGTTCATGAACCAAGGAAACATCCAGGCAGAAAGTCCAATCTCACAAATCACAAGCCTTGCACCCTGGTCAGTGATGGAAACAGTTTTGGAGTGGTGGGGAAAGATTTTATTGCTATCCTTGAAGATGCCAATACTTATCAATACAAATAAAAATGTGTGCATAAGGGAGAGATGTTGTGCAATCAGTTAACTGTTAAATAATCACAAACATAGCGAAGTCAGTGGTGAGAAGGGTTCAAGCTTGTGCATCTATTTGACTAACTGACATTTTCAGTGCAGCATCTCTAAAAAAAAAAAAAAAAAAAAATCACATTTTCAAGAATCGCAACCAACTTCATCAAACTAGTATACAAGTCTTGATCATGAAAAAAGAATGAAAGAAAAACTCATCTATATATTTCTAATGGAGGCGGAATGGAATTTCTTATTGGAGATGAATTATTTGTGTGCTAAGGGGAGTTTTTCATGCTGTTGCTGCAAGGGCCGCCATCTTGCCTATGGCATTTAACGGCAGACAAGAATACTTGTAGGCATATACACCAATCAGTCATAACATTATGAGCACTGACAGGTGAAGTGAATAACACTGATTAACTGGTTATCATGGCTCCTGTCAGTGGGTGGGATATATCAGGCAGCAAGTGAACATTTTGTCCTCCAGTTGATGTGTTAGAAGCAGAAAAAATGGGCAGCGTGAGGATTTGAGCAACTTTGACAAGGGCCACATTGTGATGGCTAGACGACTGGGTCAGAGTATCTCCAGAACTGCAGCTCTTGCTCTCTGTTCCTGGTCTTCAGTGGTTAGTACCTAGGGGGTTCCCATGTGGCCATAATGTAAAGGCTGATTGGTGTATGCTGCCCTATCAGATCCGGAAGAACTGAATCCTTTTTGAAAAACCACAGTACTGTAGCAAACTGAGTACCGTCTGGTTTTCAGAACTTTGGCATCAACTTGCCGAAGTATCGCCTCTCGTGACATCCCTAGTATGTCATCATACGTCCCTGACCACGGGCCACATTCAGAGAGCCTAGTGCATTCTCAGTGCAGACTATCAGTGTAACAAGGTCACTGTAAAATGCACTTGTCAATGTGTAATGAAACAGCAGCTTCTGTACTGGGTGGACAAGGTTGGGGAAACACACAGCAACTCACAACACAATGCAACAGCACCCATTGCACCAGTATCAGTTCGAGCAGTTCTGTAGCTGACAATCATCTTTAAAGCGTCCTGATATCTGAATAACTAAAGCTGCTTTCAGACAGTGAGCGGTTACCTCTGAGAGGAGAGTGCGGCTGCAGCTATCATGAATGAGCGCAGCTTCTTGCCACTGCATTCAGAGTTCATGATGGTTCAACTTCTTTTTAACTTGTCGCCGCGGCTCGCTATGTAACCATGGCAACCACAGGAACCACAGCGAGTGAAGAGATCTATTTTACTGGTATCCTAGTTCCTTGAATTACACACACCTCAAAGTAGTCTATTTATGTCTACGTACTCACGTGGGAAACGAGTTGTTGTCAATGAGCTGCACCATGCTAGTTGGGTTAGCCAGGTTAGCCAAACTCATATAGGGTTGCTGCCATCAATGGCAAACACACAGTGAAAATGGACAACTGTATGCCAAAATTGTCTTGTCTTACAACAGGATCACCCAAATGTGTTATTGAGTGGAACGAGACAAAACCAGACTGGAAGGCAAGTCCTTCTTCTGACAGCGTTCAGGCAGCCTCTCACTGCAGAGTCAGACTGTGCCACAGCAATAACTAATGCTATAGGAATGTTTTTTGCTGCAGCTATGTGACCAGACCCGGTCGTAGAAAATACAGGATTTAAACATGTGGTCAGAGTGCTTGAGCCCCACTACAATGTGTCTTGAAGTGTGTATTTTACTTTGTATCCATTGTGCTGTCCTGTATAAACAAGTGCGGAGAGTCTAACGACCAGGCTTACTGAAATTTGTTCTCTATTTTTTCTTATGACAATATGTCTGTATTTGAGTCCCTTAACAGCTCCAGTAAGAATTATGGCAAATGCGGCACTGTTTCATGTTTAATTTAAATGATATAAATGTTATTTCCTGCATTTTCTTTTTGCCCTGCTGTACCGAAAACCGAGGTACACGCCATTCCGTGATTTTTTTCTACTATTACACCCCTAATAAATGTTTATGACAGTAATGAGCCAAACATGCTACATTAATCATGTCATATTGCCGACCATTTCCTCTATTTTAAGCTACAATCTGCTGAGTTCAGCTGCATGATGAGATTATACTCGGAGGTAGCTGGGAGCCGAGGCCACAGCATTGCACCCTGCTGCTGCCGCTGTCTGAAAGCACCTTAAGTCCCTGCACACCCACACAGGTGTTGTCAGTTAATCTTTCTGATTAGACCCCTAGTCAGCTTGAACTTAGCAGGAGTGACCTGAACGCTAGGGGTCACATCGTTTCAGTTAAATCTACAGACTTCCAAAGAGTTTCTCATAGATTTTCTTCTATGTTTATGAGGCCTCAGTTTGTGTTTGATCTGTCTAACAAAAGCACAAGGCCAAGAATAGTGGCTTTAGCCACCTCTTATGGAGCCTCTTATCAGGTATCAGACATCATGCCAAATTGCCCATATCCTTTGACTTGGCAGGGCTCCTTAGATATGATTATTTATTACTGCCAATGACGTTCACCCCTCCTGGAGGGCACTCTAAACCGTTAAACCAGATGAACGATGGTGTGTTTTTAATGTTTTAACTGAATACAGTTGCAGACTACAGAGGAGCAGGGCAATTATACCACAACTGAGCTCCACAGGTACAGAGATGATTTTGGTTTGAATTTGCATCTTCTGGTGTGGCAATGATGCTGTAAGGCTTCTTTGAGAGTGGATTAATCTTTACAGACTGCAAAAATAATCACGAAAATTACATTGCAGTTGTTTGTTGTAAGGATGATGATTATTTCATACCTTATCATCAACCACTAATAATTTGAGAAGAATATATTAAACGACATTTGGCGAAGTTGGCACAGATTTATCAGTTACATCCTTGTGGGTGATATCACCAGTTGGAATGCCGCTTCAAACAGTTCCACTCTGGAAAACTGTGCCAGAGCAACCATGGTCAGAGCCTGTGATGCGGGCATGGAGCCAATCATTTTCCATATGCCAGGAGTGGCACAATTAAAGGTGTTGTTTACCTTGATGATGTGTTAGAAGTCTGACTTCATCCAAATTGAAGAAAGCACCTACTTCCTACTACTCCTCCATCTAACAAGCTCACCACAGCTGCTGCTTTTGTCTGACCCAACAAAGATTTAACCACAAAGGATTTACAGCCATACACAACCTGTGACCATATGTATGCCCATATCCTGACATAAACACCTTTCTCACAGCACAGGTAAAACAAACAAACCGTCCGCCTGGTGTAATGTCTGTTCAGTAAATACGAAGCTAACAGCCAGTAGCCAGCTAACTTATGTTACTATAAAGACTGGAAACGAGGGAAGCAGCTTGCGTGGCTCTCACCAAAGACAACAAGATCCACCTAACGACAACTCGAAAGTTCACTGCACTAACTAACACACTGTAACGCACAAAAACATGTAAAAACCTATAATATGCCGTTTTACAGGGGGGGGCTGTGCTAATCTGAAACTGACCACCAGTACAGAAGTTATTAAGACTGATTCAAATTCACATGTCTTTTTCCTAATGTTTCCCCATCTCATTAACCTCTGAACAATAGTTTTTTTCCCCCAAGGACACCTGGTTTCATTACAGAAATGAGGGATACCCCAATATAGTAAAACAAATCACATTGCGACCATCTTGACAGATATTACGACTGTGATATTACGACTGTGATATTACGACTGTGATATTATTCACGATTAGTGCGAATGATTTGCATCCCGATTTTCATTTTCAGAGAAAAAAACTGCTAGAATTGTGAGGATTTCTTACAGCTGGAAAAAAAAGATTTGCAGCACTAAAGTAATTCATTATAATGTTGTTTTCTCACGCAGGTGATTATATTTCGATTAATTGTGCAGCCCTAGTTTGTCATTTCATCTTTATGATCAACACGGTGGTAAACTGCGGTGCTGCTGAGTCCTCACAACAAACTTCTGCTATCAAAATGCCTTCGTGGCAACATCGATCAATAGTGATAAGCACTAATGTAGGTTGCTACCTGTCGATGAGTAAAAATAACAACACTTGTCAGTTCAAGTCTGAAGTTCAAAGAGGACGTCTTTCCTGTCATGAGAACGTTAATGCATAAACTACTGATAACACTATAGCTGAGGTAGATTTATGACAGAGATCTGTACAGAAATAAGAAAACACAATCCAGCCAACACAAAAAGCTATTAACATCTCTTAAAATAGACACAGCAATAAATGCCACTGTACACTGCTCATCAGCAATTGCCAGAATTGTTCACATTTCACATTCACAGTGGACACCCACTGGAAAAGCCTGTGTCTTAAAAAAAAAAAAAAATCCGATCTGTGAGAATTCATGCTGGTGAGCAATTTATGACTCAGAAGAATAAATGACAATGAAAAGCAACTATTCCTCCTCCTGTTGGACACCTCCACATTAAAACCTGTGCTCCATGAGCCAAAGTTTGGCATCCCCTGCTTATAAAAAACCACACAACAAAAGGCACTGATTGTAGCTGGTGCACAATGTAACCAAATCCTCATGATGATCATCTTTTAGCAACCACTGCGGACACTGCAGAATCCGAGCAGTCGCCACATTTCCACTGCCAAAGCCAACACACTGTCACGATATTTCATAACCAAACACTGGCCTGCTGTTACGGTCTCGGTGGGGGGGGGTTGCGACCACGCGTTACTGTGTAATCTGAGGAGATGTGCGATGGGGACTTACAAGTTTTTACAGCGGGATGGATGCTGTCGAAGAAACCGTGTGCCAGATACCCACCAAGGCCTGTTTACATCGCTAGCGTGCTAGCATTGCATAGCATCGTTCACTCTAGTCGCTCGCACTCAGGTCACGTTAAGTTAACATTTAACAAGCCCACGGACCGGCACTTACCTTTACACGAGCTTCCTCGGAGCCCCCGTATGAGCTGCCAACCCCTAAAGCTAGCCTGGCATACTGGGGGCGGTTTCCCCACATACCTTTTGTCCCTAACAGCGTTTAAGTCCCGTTGACTGATATTAGCATATAGCTGCTAGCTAAGAAACGCTAACTGTCAAGACTTGGCCAGCGAGCTAACGTCCCTCCTCCTGCTCTAGAAAACCACAGTGACATGACCACAGCGCTGGGAAAACATCGACGGTCTCCATCATGAATTAAAGCCCAGCAACGTCACCAAGATGCAATACCGATAAGCCGTGGGCTCGTGTTCATTGTATACTTACAGTAGGTCCTATGAGATTAGTCCGTCCATTGAAAGCCGCTGGTAATATGTAATAGCAACCCACAGAACTGTGACATAAACGATTTTCGATCGGTGACCCAGTTTCTCTTCACCGTCATGCCTGTCGGACCACTAACCTAGTTTTTCAACCAATGGCGTTGGTGCTACCGCCGTAGGTGCACCTCCAGCCAATCAGTCACAAATTCAGGCTGGGAAACTATGACGGGCGTGCTGGTGGACCAATGAGCGCCGAGGTAGAACGGAATGTACAGGCCACTTGTGTGTGTGTGTGTGTGTGTGTGTGTGTGTGTGTGTGTGTGTGTGTGTGTGTGTGTGTGTGTGTGTGTGTGTGTGTATCATGGATAACACTGCATCACGAGTCATATAGTCGGTAGGGTTCAACTAGAGCCGGCCATAATGGGGTTATACTGTATTTTGATACTACGATTTATTTTGACCCCGGTGAACCTTCAGGTTGTAAGACTGAATGTGGACATTAGGAGATGAGACATGAAATGTTTTTAATTAGAATGAAATGACATTTTTATTTTATTTCTATGTTGAATTATCTTTTTCTATGTGTGTAAAATGAAGGAACTGCTAACTTTTATTTTCGTTATGCAACCGTATGTTGTACAATGATAAATACATTTCCTTAATTCCTGGATATGAGGGGTAAAAATAAAGACATATTAAAAGTATAGTGTTTTATAAGTTTGCTGTAAATCACTGAGAGAATCACTTTGAGAACAAATGCATTCATTATGTTTCTTCACTGTTGTAGTCGGTTTTTTCTTTGAATTTTTTCATCTGAATCATGGTCTGCTTGTACAAAAACAGGTGAACTTCTTAAGCTGATTTATTATTGTAACTTTGTTTAAATGGAGGCATCCAAAGTCAAGTTAATGTAACATTGATTGAAGTTCGGTGCAATGTGCACTTTGTCGCCTCCTGCTGGTCATATGTTTACCTCTTCTACTGTCCAAACACTCAATAAATACTGTAATCTGAAGGTCAAATGGGATTTCTTTTCATTCATTTGAAAACTGAGAAATAAAGTAATAACACATACAGAAGACATTTATGACCATATTTACCAACTATGGGGCCTTCGAGGGCCTGTGGGCCCCTATTGACCCCATGTTTGTGGTCATTTGGTTAAGCACACATTTATTTTGGAATATGCACCATTTAAATTGTGACACAAGGCCCCTCTAGAAGACAAGTATACAGGTCTGGTAGTAATGCGTTTTAGTGGTATATTGAAAAGCAAATTAATTAAATTACCACGAACCAACTCACGTAATGCATTTGCCCACTTTAGAGTCTGGTAGTGGATGCAATGGCTTGCCTTGAATCTTAGTCTGGCAAAGAATATAGAAATGTGCGAAAATACATGTATCTCTAGTATCACACTGCTGTTGGCTAAATGAAACCATTGTTCATTTATTAGGGCCAGACTTACCTCCACTGATCTCAGATCTCAGTGAACCAGTAGTCCCATCAGCTGCAGTGATTTCAAGTACTGAGCAAAAGGTGTTGCTGTCCATTTACTTTCTTTTTATTGTTTGCTTCCTAGTTTATACAATAGTGTCTCCACATGCAGGAAGAAAACAAATAACCTACTGGCTATATCACTGACAACAATACACCAAAGCTTCTGTACCTTGGTCAGGTTTGGGTTAACGGCAGTCTGTTTGTATTGTACAGGTTAAACCAGAGTAAGTTGGATAAATAGGGTACATATGCATATAACATACATCTGCTAGCTGTATTCTCTTGGCATTGTTTACCGGTGTTAACAGCCCACCTTTAAAACCCTCTATCAAAACCCACATATGATGCAAGGTGGAGGTGTTATAGGTGCATATAACCTATATCATATAAAGCATATATTAAAGGAGTAAAATGGATTATATTCTTGTTATGTTTCCTTTGTGTGTTTGCTGTCATTGTGACTGTAATTATATTTCAGGTGACAATTTGAATATTTCTGTCCAATGTGTGTTCATTGGACAGTTGGGGGGGGGGGGGGTTTTTTTTTTTAATTTTTTTTTAAAGAGGGTTGGTGGAGAAAAAACACCCCCCCCCTAGAGGGGGGGGGTTTTTTCTTGGTTTTTTCCTTTTAACAGGGGGTTTTTCCTTGCAGTGCAGGTGGACTGTGGTCTCTGTAATTAATGTTAAAGAGTTCGGTCACCTGATTGAAAACATAGAATTGGAGCAACAAATAAATAAATTGAATTCCAGACGACGAAGGGACACAGAAGGGTTGTCCTGTTGTTCTCATATTCTCATTGAAATAATGGTTTGATACGTAAAAAGAACTTTTTTTAGGATCATTATCACACTGTTGCCTTTATCTTTCTGACAAAAGAAGTTTGACAGAATTGTTCCTGTTCCCATTTTGCATTGAAACCCAATCACCAGGCTACATTTAGTACATTTAGATAATGTACAATGCACTGTTACACCCTGTTTCAACTGATTTTCAACTGCTACTAGGAAAAGAAACCATATTATTACATGAAAAACAGTTCTGCTGCAAGTTGTTGATTTTTCAAAAGGTTCAGTAAATGATTTATCTCTATGGTAATAATGGAATCAGTGGTCCCTGATCATATTTAACATTTATATGATTTTAGTACATTGTATTCCTGTGGATTATTCATGTTGCATTACCACTCTCTATTTAATAACTACTACTATTATTATCATTATTTTATTTGCATTTTCTTTACCAATTTCTATCAGACCATGCTCATTTTCTTAAAACAACAATAGTTTTTATTCAGCCTGTGGCAATACAAATCATATAGTGAGGTATCACAGCGAGAAACCAGCCACTCTAGAAGCGTACTTGAATCTGGTCTGACTTCATACTTTATATTCTTTTGTCTTGTGCCCTAGAACTCGTATTATATCACGCATGTTTCGTAAGAGCAGCCTAACCTCATTTGGTTAATGACGCATTTCCTTTTATTTCCTGATCTAAATTACTGAATGAATCAATGAGTAAACAAGGTCAACAACAAAATCAAAAGGTAATAAGGTAATTACAAAAAGGTGCGATACAAAAAGGACACTGCTGACACTGTAACGAACACTTTTCTCACATTTACTTTTAACATGAAACATCCTAGCCAGACACACATAAATCAGTTACATCAGAAACAAATATTAGGCCGATTATACATCATGTCAAAAGAGATGGAAATAGTCCGAGTGCCGTGTATTGTAAACATACATTGTGCCACCAGATGGCAGTGTTGAGTCATATTAAACCAACACGGGATACAGTGAGCACAGGCCTGTAGGTTTCTGTTTCATCTGTGAGGTATTCTTAAAGTACCTTCAACTCTTTTTCCTGAGGTGCAGTGGAGGTATAGGAGGTTGTAAGACAAACTGTATAACTTTTCATGGAGTACGGAGTTTAATGTCTTTAAATTCAAATTATCCTGCAAAATATTCAGATTACCGCCTGCATTTTGCTGCTTTCATGTACTGTCGGATATATTTACATTACATTATTAAGGCTGTCAGTGCTGCCAACATGCAATGTCAGAATATGAATAGTATGTCGTTTAGATTTTAGTGTGGCATTTAAATATGGCTTGGCATTATGTGTAAACGATCAACATTGCTGTCTGTTGGATCCTTACATGATGAATCCCACGGGGATTATTAAAGTATTTCTGATTCTGATTCTGATTCTGGACAGATTTCTTATTGCAAGTAATTAAAGATCCCCCTTGTATTAAGATATATACCAAAAGTCAGGTTGGAACAATACTGTGTGTCTAATATGTGTGTTTTTGTTGCAACAAAAGTATAATTTCCACATTAAAATCCTTAAAAAGTGAATCTACTCCTTCTACCTCATTAAAAATTCCCCATTCTATTAATATGCTCATTTCTTTTCACAAGATGTCTCCTACTTCACTGTAAAGCCCATTCTCAGTGGATGTGCACTGGTGGATCACACGTGTATAAACTGCACACTGGACCATCTTCTAGTGTCAAACTGTGCACATAGATCATTCTGCACACTTGAACATCACACTGTAGGAAAGAGAAGAAACATATTTTCTTTCACTTTAATTCATTAGTTTTGTTCGCATTCAAGTCATATTTAATGAATTGGCTTACTTCCATGGCACCTGGCTCCATATCCCAAATCATTATCTTAACAAAAAGCACCGACATGAATCTAATGACGGGCACACGAGCGCGCGGGATATTCCGAGGGGCTCGTGAAGGCATCGTGCCTATCACATGGCAGGTGATAGTTGAGGAAGCTCGCGCATTAGTGCAGCGCGGAGTACGGAGGAGGGACAGCGCAACAGTCCGGAGCACCTTGCATGTGTGAGTGTGTTTATATGTGTGTGTGTGTGTGACGGGGGGCATGTGTGTGCGTGTGTGTGTGTGTTTGTGGGCTCACTTTGTCAGAATTAAGGATTAAGTTCGATAAAGCTTCAGAGGAGTCGCATTTCGTAAGTAACATAACTGCCTGGAGCTAATTTCTGTAGTACTCTGCTCCTGTAATACACAGAATGTTAGCCTTCTGGGAAAGTGTCATATAGCTCTTTGCTGCTACTGGACGAGATAAGTTTGTTATAAACTTCTAGCATTTGAGAGTCACAAACAATAGACAAGTTGCTGGAGTTAAGGGACTGTCCCTCTGGAATAATTATTCGGTTTTAACAGGAAATAGTTCTTTAAGTTTTTCTTTTTTCTTCTTTGTAGCACGGTAAAATGACTCATGGACCATTGCCACTAATTAAAAACAATGATTTGATGAAGATATACGTTTTAAAATGTATAAATGTGTGCTGTGGTGGGTGATAGATGAGTTTACAGTGACATTAACAC